AGGAGTGGGGGGCTTTTCAAGGTCTTCATCCTATTATAACTGGCATAAAACTAACAGAAAAGAACATCACATTGAGAGTCAAACAGAGTGATGATGGACTGAAGTCTGTTCCCCAGAAGAACATCCTGCAGGAGAATATCCACATATTGGTTTGTGGTCATAAGCTCAGGCTCTCATAGGTTATTCAGTAGGACAATGAGCAAAGGTTCACAAGCGAGTCTGCCTCTGGAAAGTTTTGGGGGTGTTTTAGTCAAAGTCTGCACTTAGTTCTGATTGAGATTCAGTGTCACAACTTTAGAAAGTTGTTCCTGTTGAATGTCCTTCAATGTGACGGATTTGAAAGAATTCAGCAGAGAAGAAATGGTTGAAAGTCCTCCCCAACAATGTCAAAGACTCACTGTCGATTATAGCAAGTAGCACAAGCAGTTATTCGGTACAGGGGACAATCATATTTTCACAGAAGGCCATGTTAGTTAATGCGTACCTTCATGATGGAACTACTTTTCAACAATCCTGAAATGTCACCCACTCCTTATTTGATTCATCACTTAACCACCAATTCCTTGTTTTGAACTTGACCTATTGCTGAAAAGCTCAATAGTTATGCAAACTTTTGCAAGGCAGTGTGCTACTTTTACCGGCCAGCCACAGCACTTTTCAACAACAAGTCCAATTCCCCCATGCTCACACAATCACACATCAATTTGCAGGCAGGCAATGGGTAATTCAGTGTCTTGCCCAAGGACACGCAGGACAGGTTAAAACCAGGAGTCCAGCTAACAACCGCTCTTCCCTGCTGATCCACAGGCATTCTGGGTGTTTATATGAGACAAGCAGGGAGTGAGAGACGGTAATAGCTGCTAAGACCCTGTTCGACACACATCGGTTGCACACGGACCTGTTTAATACAGCTGCTGGCAGTGAGAAGCATTGAGGGTTAGTAGTGAAATAGCCTGAGCACATGAGCCGTTTACTTCAGGCTGAGCTCAGCAGAAGGATTAAATTAGGAGCAGTGAGAGGCTGAGTGGGGCTAATTGGAAGAGACAGGACCTGGTCAGTGTCTCCGGGTCCAGCTGGCTGCAGTAACACGGACAACTCCTCTCACACTCTGCTAACTTTCACTCGAGTGGTGTTGACTGGTTGTCACTGAGCCACTGTGTGCCTTTTTGTCGCCTGACAGCTTTTCAGATGCAAATGATGTCGAATCTGTAAATCTTCTATCGACCTGTTTGACCTCCCAGGATTTCTCTTGAGTCAAACCGAGTCACTTTATGAAAATGTTTGCCATTAAAGCTGCAGTATATAACTTTCATAACAGTATGTTTTTGACATATTTGCTTGTAAGTGTGTCGCAACAAAAACAATGGAGGATAGCATTGTGCTGCGTTGTGCTACTTTACCTGTTCAGTTTTGCACAATTTCTGATAAGGAATATATGTTTTACATGTGAGACATTTACAATGAGGTGGAAGCACATTCGCTGACATGCTAAAATCACAGTGTCATCTCTACTAAATTAAGAAGTTATGGAGACTAGATAATGACTTTTGTTACTACTTTAACAATACTTCCCTTTAGAAATTCTGAACTACTCCTTTAAGAGCTGCCCTTCTTCCTTTATCCCTTTCCCACATGTGTCCACAAGTGGCTCCCCCTGTTTCCATGTTGGTGCTGAATCCTAATGTGGTGCTGTCCTGTGTGAGAAGGAGGAAGCAGGACCTGAATGTGACCATCAATTTCAGGCAACAATGGCGTCCATAGAGAAGTCAGGAGAGAGTGAGGGAAACATCTTAAACAAGCAAAGCTTGCCAAGTGGGGAGGAAGAGTCTGCTGCAACGTGCAACATAACAGATCGGGCAACACATTCCACATGAACAGAAAAACATTGTGTGGAAGAAGAAGGAGAGGAAGGAGGGAAGGAAGCGAGGCGGAGATTCTGTTTGGTGTGTTGGCCGGCGTGAGAATGGCTTCTCACACACTGAACGATCCCCGACACCAGGCAGAAGTAAACACGAGCGGCTCGAAAACCCTCCAGCAAGAGCTTGGAGATGATGCAAACAATCCACTCTCTTACCACAGGTGGGACCGAAGGCCCCGACACCGACCCTTACGTGATCCCGCCGAGCTCCGCTTGGTGAGAATTCAGAGTCGGCGTATGGAAACAAATCATTCCCCAGCTAACGGCTAGAGGTTCAATTAGATGCACTGCCTTGAACGGGCCAGATAGAATTCAATTATGTAAAGAACGAGTTACGGTTGAAGGATGGAAATAAACAAGGTGCTCTGATGTTTTATTCATCCCCGCACTGCAAAATGCCTCCTGCATTAAACAAGAGCAGCAGGCGAGCTCTGCCTTCAGAGTCTGGAGACTGATTTGTTTAGCTGTTTGCCTTTAGGTTGTCACATTGGAGGGGATGTAATTTTCATATTTGCATTAGTTTGCTGCCGAGAAGCTAAGAAACCTCAGTGGTAACTGGGACAGGATAATACTGCAGCTCCTAGGAAAAGACACAGAAGACAGGGCGCCTTGCAAACGCGTTTATACACCCCTTAAACTTTACTTTACACACACACACACACGCACACACACGCACACACACACAGTACCTTGCACATGTTACTGCACTTCTAATTGCGAGTTTTTTAGCCATCGATCCCGACTGAGATTTTCTTCTTTGCAAAGTAGTGCTAGCTCAGTAGATTGAGTGGAAAGCATTTGTGAACAGCAATCTTGAACTTAGTTAAAGCAGCAGTATGTAACTTTTATGAAAAAATATATACATATATTTTTTTTTACCAATTTTCGTTAAAACTGTCGCTATGTCTTTGGTATATCATGAGACAGATAATCTGTTAAAAGATCGAGCTGCTCCCAGCATTAACTACAGAATTGCTGCTCAGTCAGAAACAACCAATCAGAGCCAGGAGGAGGGCCTTGGTGCCATCAATCACCTCACATCCTCCACCTTTCTCTCTGTTATGCTACAGCTGGTTCAACACAAAAGAGTCTACTGTGAATGCTGAGGCTAGTTAGCCTAGAAACAGATAACGGCAGAAAAATGCTTTTCCTGTAACGTTAGTTTGTTTCTGTGCNATTAGCACATTGAGCAGCAAGTGCATGAGACTGATTGACAGCACTAAGACCCTCCTCCTAGCTCTGATTGGTTGTTTTTAGAGCGATACATTTCTCCAGACGACACTAGTAGCTCAGGGAGGAGCTGGAGGAGATCGATCTTTTCACAGATCATCTGTCTCATAATGTACTGTCACGGAACGGTGACAGCTTCAACAAATATGTAAAAAAAAAACCCACATATTTCTCATAAAAGTTACATACTGCAGCTCTAAGCCAGCTGAAAGAAGTGTGCGCCACTGTTTACCCTGCTTCCAAACAAATGGTTCCAGACAGCTTGGAAAAGTTTACTTCAAAGAGGGAGAGTGGTAAAACACAACAGGACCATCAGTGTGAAAGGAACCATCAGGCGACGGGTTCAGTAGACTTTCAAACTCTCAAAGTGTTTCTGTCGCCCAGAGAAACGGGAATCCTGCTCGTCCTCCCAACCTGAGCTGTCCTTTCCCTGAGCCTTGGTCTGTGCTGACCCTCACAGCCTGTGGCATCAGTTTAGCATGCAGAAGAAGAAGCTCTACAAACGCCCATCGCCAGTGAATCATACACACACACAGAATTTAATCTCACCCGCATCACTGACAGCTCCTTTGTTTTACACTCCATAAAGGCGTGAAGTGCATTGCATCAATAACAAACACAAGCACTTTGCTGACTCGCTCACAAATAAACACTAAAGTTAATCCTAATGAATGATGTGTGGCTCGCTCTGTAAATCCTCGTGTTTGTGCGTACGGACGCCGCGACTTTGGCTTCAGCGCTCGGCAGCAGGAAGGAAGCAGGTACGCAGCGTTGCTGCCAGTGTTTCCCCGAACGGGTCGACAAACATTCAGCAATAACCTGCAAGGAGCTCAGCAGGTTTATCGAGTCCCAACCTTAAAAAAAATTAAAAAAAACCGATGGAACGCCAATGAGGAAATGAAGAGGGGAGTTTGAAAGAAAAACAATTAGACTCTGTTGTTGCTTAGGTGACGAGATATGTTTCCTTGCCAGTCGCTCCAGGGAGACCGTGGGAGTTTTCCATCTGTTTACTGTCATTATTACAGACTGATAGAAGGAGTTTAAGTTGCTTCTGGTTACATAAATTCTGTCTGTGAGCCGAGGCACGGCTAGAGAAAGTTAAAACCTTAATTTTCCAGACTTTTTAAAATTATTTCTATTCATTCTTCACTAGGGAAGAGTGAGCTATTGCTGTGAAATCTCAGTTTTCCTCCCAATCTATTCTCAAGAATCAAATATCATGTATCGCGAACCAGATGTATCTCTACACTCCCAATTATGACCAATAGCTGGCAAGCACGAGACGGTCAACTCTGACAATTTAAAACTGAACCTCGGCTAAAACAGAAAAACCCTCCAGTTTTTCATTTGTTCTCTTATTAGGCTTTGAACGCAGCCTGTCTGAAAAGGCCAAAAGAGCAGAAAACGTGAACCTTGATTTCCCCACTCTTTAAGCAGACAGAGCCGCAGGTTGAGCAGCTGCCCATACGGAGCGAAGCGAGACCTTGGGTTATGATTGAAACGCGGCAGTTGACAGAATCACGAGAGGACTGACCTTCTCTTTCCTCGCTGCCCCTGGTACCTCAAAGGCATCTAAGCGGTCGCACCTTCTAATAATTTATCGGCCTGATGAATGAGAACAACACACACACACGCACACACACACACACACACACACACACATGCACACACAGATAAAGGAAGGCAGAGACACACTTGTATACGGAAAGATGAAATGTAAAATCTCCTGACACTGACCTCTGCTACACTGATCACAAAAGAAGACTGACAGTGAGGAGGAGGAGGAAGAGGATGATGATGATGATGATGATGATGATGATGATGAGGGTGGGTTACAGACGGGAACACACACCTAGCCACGAGCCGCAGTAAGCGGCCACGTCTCATCTCGCCCGCCTCTCGTGACACGTGGCCGATGTACAGATGAAAACCCAATCCACTCGGTTACGCGGCGGGGCAGATGTCAGCAGCTGAACGCTCGCTCTGCAAGCCACGCCAGCAGAATGGAGCTCCATTGATTTGCTGCTGCAGGAGCTGAAGGCTATTAAGAAAAAAAAAAAAAGAGGAGGAGAAAATATCTGTGGCCCCCGTGGAAAGGCCAGCTCATGGCAGGAGGAAAGGAAAATAACAACAGCTTGATGAAAACAGTTGATATGCGGCGTGATGTCAGCAGGCTGAAGGAGGGAGAGCAGGGAGTGTGCAGATAGGAGGAAACATGGAGAGGTTTCAGTTCAGTCTGGTACAGGAAGTATGGAAAAATAACGTAGGGAGACATCCATCCATGCTAACAGGGACTGTCACTGAAAAGCGTAAGAAATATTTGCCTGAAGGATTCTCTTGTAAAAGGAACCAAAAGTTAGGAAATTGGCGTCCGTTTGTCTGTCCGTCCCAAGAGTTCTTCTTTTTGTTCAACGTTTAAAGCCAAACCGTTTCAGAAATATTTACTTCAAATTCAAATAAAACTTGTGTTTATTCTTTAATATTGTACTAAAGTGGACAGAAATCTGAGTCTGGAAAGGTAATGAATTTTAAAAACGTGCCCGAGAAATCAGCTCCACCATACAGCAGAGTTATACTGTGCCTATCTGGAACGCCGCTCACATTTTGTCTTTAGCCCTGGCGGCTTAGCGATGTTCGACGGAGCATAATGCATGAATGCAGACTGAGACCTTCATCACTGTCACCGTGGTTACATAACTACCTCACCCCCTTACCCAAGAGGCCACCTGTCTCCGCCTGCCGTTTAGCTCCGGCCCTCTGGGGTCCATCCCCTCTTGTCCTCACATTCCCCTTCTCGTCTCTCCCTCCACTGTATCCCAACATCCATCCCTGATCTTCTGCGCTTCCCCTTCCTGTTCTCCTTCCATCTAGCATTAGTCTGTGTCTGCTTGCCCACTGCTAACGGCCGGGCGGCGCTTTGAACCAGAGGATGAAAGAGCAGCTTCCATAATGAGAGTCTTCATACCAAGAAGCTGTTTAGTTCCAACACACACATACATACACACACCAGCAGGCTCTGGGTGGAGGAAATTTCTAAGTGAAAAGTTGCTTTTCAGAGCACAGGACTCACAAGTAAACAAGCCACGTGTGTGTGTGTGTTTGCAGAGACTGTAAAATAAAACTACACACACATTAGGTGTGACAAAATGCTCTGTCATCTCAGGTACTGTTACTTTACCTCCAGTATGGACACTGGTTTTGCACCAGGACTGTAGTCTTTCTTTAATTCCAGAAGAAGCTTCAAGATACATCCTTTTGCTTCAATAAGATGGCCAGATGCTGAAATTCTTCGGGTAGTTTGTCACCAATCGAGCCAGTCGTTGTCTTGATCAAGCTGGTGTTATGGAACCAAAACATGAGTGTTGGGCATCCTTCATGAACAACCATTGAGAATGAAGGAGTGTTGGACATACTTCAATCTCAATGGGAGAACACTTCAGACATTGTGGCCCCCATTTTATTTTTGTTTCGTTTTCAAGCATCATCACTTGGAAAAACTACCACCAGCTGAAGTTTAGAGACTTCAGCCGGTGGAAAACTTCACCTTAACCTGTTTGAATCATCTTAATGGTAAGTCATGGAATTGGTAAGAAAAGAAAAATGTTGGTTGTACATACACAGCCTATGTAACTGTATTCAGAGTAGCAACTAAAACAGAATAAACACATCTGAAATACAAACGTCTCTTATTTAACCACTAAGTTTGACAGAAAACTTGACTTTGCATTTATGTTGAAAGCTAGTAAAGGTGCTCTGATAAAATAATAATAATAATAATAACAGCAGGTCTATGACCAGATTGATGATCTTAAAATCAGTTGCGTGGTTACAGTCCAGGACTGCGTGACCTCTGATCCCAGACCAGATACCAGTCCGGTAGACTATCAGGTGACTGGAGACCAAACTTTCAACATTTGCTACATAAATGTTACATTATTGCATTCAAATGAACCAAAAACTCTGAAAAACCTGTTCATCACTTCGCCTGTGACAGTGCTGCACCAAGAACCACTGAAGGAAACAACACGAAAACGTCCAAAGAAGACATGTGAGCGCAACTTCCTTCTCCATGAAACATAAATAGAAATGGAGTTTCATATCAGCTGTAGTCATTCATCAGTCATTTCTCCCACTGACTCCGGTCCGCTCGGCGTTCAAATACGCATTCGAACCGCACCAGATTCCCCTCAACCACAACCAAGACGAGGTTTGTAGGTTTGCGCATTAACGCCTCATCAAACCGACCAGACTTTCTAGGCAACCAAACCAGAGCTCCATTAAAGCGGACCAAACAGGCCTGGTGTGAATCCAGCCTTTAGACTGTTTCCAACACCACAGTGTGTGCAAAATGCAGGATTTTTTCTCATTTATTAAAACCAGTAACAGGATAGGCTATATGTATATATATGTTCACAAAACACCCCAACGTCACCTAGGGGAAGTCTCTAGAAATGGTCTCAGATTTATTCACAAAGCAACAAGGTTATATTCTCAGCAACAGAATCAAAGGCAGTGTGTCATAAACTCTATATTGTAAATACTGATGACTCCTGAGAGTGTGAAGCGTGTTAATCAAACAGATCCATATCATGAGCAGCATTCCTTAAACAGACTTGTCTAAACTTCTTATCAGCATTACAATCATACTGGTGATAAATTGCAAAACTAATAGAATGGGAAAGTGGGAGCCCACTCGGGAGTTTCTTACTGCCATCAAATATTGGTTTTCCATTCACTGTTATGTGACCAGACTCACAACTCTACAGAGCCTTGCAAAAAAAAAAAAAAATAAAAAAAAAAAAAACATGAACTTTTTTTTAAAATATACAAACAGGAGCCTCAGTATATTTTATGTAATATACAAACACATATATGCTTAGTGAGCCCATTTCTTGCCTATTTTGATCGCCAGGAATGAAATAAAATCCAACAATAAGTTTAATAATTTAATAATGTTTAATAAGTTTAATAGTTTAATGCTTTAATAAGTCTCATAATTTGAAATTCGAATCCACCAGTGAATAAATGAATAATGGTGTAATGAAGCCATTATGCAAAGAAGAATAGGTTAAAACGTAAACAAATCTGAAGTCTGGGGAATTTACTCAAGGAGGCTTAATACTCATAGTCACAACACCTTATTTGGATTTTTATTTGAAAATAAGTTGATTATTAGATTATTAGAAATATGTTAAAAGATGCAAATTTACAAATACTTCAATTTCTTTTTTTTTTTTAATAAGAAGATAAACATTTCATTGCATAAAACACAGTAACACAGCAACAGTGTCATGTGTTTGAGTGTAAAGTAAAGCATCATCAGTGGTGAGTGTGACCAGAAAAGCTCTGTGGAAATTTAGTCAACATGTCAGTTCAACACGGTTTTATGAGAAGTCGTCCGATTTTTGGAAAGAACGGGTTTTGTAACAAAAGTCCAAACTGTAATGAACACTTTTACCTGCTGAGTTTCATTTCTTATATATATCATCACCGTAACAACAGTGGTTTGTTCCTGAAATGAGCTGATGAAAACCACGAGGGAGGAACAACGAGCATCAGCCTTGAATGTGTGTTGTATTTTCACCGCGTCGAACCATCCGCCTCAATGAATGAAGGGAATGCGGGCAGCTAATATGAAACTATTGCTCTCACAGGCAGAAGTTTCAAGTCGCTGTAAGGGAAACAAAGGAGGAAGGCGGAGGCCGCATTCTTTTCTCGATGTTTCTATTGTGGCCCGATAAGAGACGAAAGCGTGATACAAGGAAGCATCTGTGTGTGCCTGAAGGCTCAAAGTCCGCCCATTATCGGCAGCAGTGACGTCACGATGCTCAGGATGTGTTTTGTTCAATTGGACAAGTGGAAATATTTTGCAATAGTCAAAGCATATCGGCAGATTTTATTTCTGGAACTCTAAAAGGGCTGCAAACCAAAAAAAAAGAGAGAGAAAAAGAAAGGGAATGGGTCAATATTGGTGTGAGTACCGTAATGAAAGCTCCATCGACCCGCACAGCACTGATCTAAGGTTGTTGCTCCTCCAGTTGACAGATTACCCAGCAGTACTTGCTGCTGAGGAGTCCTAAAAATGGCACAGATGCGAATCTTTCCATTTCACCTTGACCTTTTGCTGAATACCGCGTAGCGCATCAGAATGCCATTACCTCTCCCTGGGTGGTGAAATATTTAAACGGTGGGAGAGGGCTGCTTAACGTGCGGCACTGAACCCTTGGCTCGTCTCTTTGCCGAAAGTGAAATAATAATAACGGCCGGAGCCCGAGCTGGCTGCGACGCAGCTATTTTGATGTGGGCCATAAATGAAACACGACAGCGGCGGCGGCGGCGCGGTGGGACCTCGGCTTGGTCAAACAAAGATGATCAAGGAAAACTCTTCTCGTTCATGATTTACGACGTCCGCAGTCAAAACTTCAGCTGCCCTATCTGATCAGCAAACACCAAACACGTTCGTCTTCTACGGTTTTTACTCCTGCTCTGTGTAAAACTCTCTTGTCTGCTGCTTTATTAAACAGGGACAGCAAATGTAAGAGAAAAGAATCTAGGAAATGTAGTAAGATTCTTCAATTTAATGCCATAACAACTACACACTCCAACGTATTTTTATCAGATTTTATTTGATCTAAACTTCATTTTGGACCTCTACAGACTGAACATTTCCCTATTGTTTCTTTTTGCAAATTAGCTTAGCTGTGGAAATCTTCTGTGAACATGAATGTTCAATTCAAAAACTTTTGTCTCAACTCCAGATATTCCAGTCTATGAATATGCTTTGATTTGAACCAAGTTGTAGCTCTGGCTGTTTAGAAACCCTAAAGATCTCAGTGGAAAGTGACCCTACTCACAATACTTAAGTATTTTTCTTCCACTATCAGGTTTTCTGGAGGCTGCACGGTGGTACAGTTAGTAGCCTTGCAGCAAGAAGGTTCCGGGTTTGAATCTCGACCCAGGGTCCTTCTGAATAGAACTTGGACCTTCTCCATGTGTGGGTTCCCTCCAGGTACTTTGGCTTCCTCCCACAGTTCAAAACCACGACAGTCGTGTTAATAGGTCTTTCTGAATTGTTCTTAGGTGTCAGTGTGTGTTTCTCTAAGGGACAGGTGACCTGTCCCAGGTGTACTGTGCCTCTCACCCAATGACCCAATGAGATAGGTATTCATAATGCTGTTTGTTCATTATTGTAGAACATCTAGTTTAATGAGTTTTTCTTACACAAAGGTGACTTCTGAAGACACTTGGTTGGATTAGGTCGGGATATCAGAGTGATAAGTCACTAAAAAATATTCAAAGTAAAACAATGA